AAGAAGAGGGAAGGAGAAGGGAAAAGTAGAGGAGGGAGAAAGGGAAGAGATGGGAGAAAGAGAAGAGTAGAATAGGGAGAGAAAGTGGAAGAGGAAAAAAGAGGGGTAGAGTGAGAGAGAGGAAGGAGGGAGGGAAGGGGAAAGAAGGGAAGGGGAAAAGAGAAAAGGTAGAAAGAAAGGGGAGGGTGGAAGAAAGAGAAAGGAAGGGGAGAGGACAAGAAAGTGGAAGAGAGAGGAATGGAGAGGAGAAGGGGAGAGAGATGGGGAGATGAAAGAAGAAAGGAGAAAGAAAGAGAAGGGAGAGAAGAGAGTGAGAAGAAAGGGGAAATGGGGAGAGGGAGAAGGGAAGTCAGAAGGAGAGGTAGGGAAGGGAAGGAGGAGGAAGAACAGGAAGAAAGAGAAGAGGTCAGAAGAGGGGACTGGAGGAGAGAGGGGGAATGAATAACAGAGACAGAAAGTGAGAAGGGAAGGGGAAGGGAGAAGAGAAGAGAGAGGGAAAAGAGAAGGAAAGAGGAAAGGAAAGAGAGGGAAAGGGAAAAGGAGAGGCAGAAGGAAAGGGAGAAGAGAGGTAAAAGATAAGGGGAAAGGAATGGAAAGGAAGAGAGGGGGAGGATGAGACAGAGAGAGAGAAAGAAAGAGAGGAGTAGGAGAGGTGAATGGAGACAGATGGAGAAGGTAAGGTAGAAGGAGAATAGGAAGGAGAAAGAAGACAGAGGAAGGAGAGGCAGAAGGAAAGGTGAGAAGGAAAGAAAGAAAGAGAAAAGGAAGGGAGAAAGAGAAATGGAGAAGAATAGAAGGGAATAAGGACAGGGAGAAGAAGAGATGCATAAAGGAAGAAGGTAAAAGAAAGAGAAAAAGGAAAGAAGGGAAAGTGAGTTGAGAGGGGGAAAAGGAAGAGAAGCTAAAGGGGAAGAAGTGGAGAGGTAAGAGGAAAGAGAGAGGAGGGGAGGAGTGGAGGAAAGAAAAGGGGAGGGAAGAAAGGAGGAGAAAGAGAGCAGGTGAGAGGAAAAAGGAAAAGGGAGAGAAGGGAAAGGGAGAAGAAAAAAGGGGGAGAGGGTAAGGAAGGAGAGTTAGGATAAGGAGAGGGACACAGGAGGGGAGAAAGGGAAGGAGAAATAAAAGAGAAAGAGAGGAGACACAGGGTGAGTGGAGGAGAGGAAGGGAAAGAACAGGAAGATAAGGAAAGGGGAAAGGGGACATGAGGAGGAGGGAGAGACAGACAGACAAAGACAGAGACAGACAGACAGAGACAGAGAGAAAGAAAGAGGTTTCAGAACTGGATATTCAGGGCCATATCTAGTCCTCAGTAGCATATTCAGCATCATACTGAACACTGAAGGGAAGATGGTGGTTATCTTCCCTTCTATATTAAAAGGATTAGAGACAAGCGTGGATTAGGAAATCTTAGACTCGTGATCACCAACTCAAATCACCAATATATTTTGCACGGATTACATCCACAAGTTTAGACTAGCAAAGATATTCATTTAAATAGGGAGATCAAGGGCTGGATAGTATGCCTTAGGCTAGGGTCTCCATTTAGTCTGATGCTCGATGAGGTTGAAATCACTGTCTTCGACTTTTAGAGCTAGGAAGGACATCAGAAGTTGAATCAAATTCTCTCATTTTACTGACAAGAAAACTGAGGTTTAGAGTGACTTTTCCAAGATCACATGGCTTTCCCTCATATAATCCTCCCTCCTCTATTTATGAGTTAGAATACTCTTTGCTCCCCATTGCCACCCCCAGACTCTCCCTTTAGCACTATTACTCAGTAACCTCTCCTCCTTTAAGGGTCATTCAATCCAAATTTATCATCCAATCCAGATTCTGGCAGCTGTTATCCACCAATTCTGGGAATATTTCCCCTTTTTTCTCAATGAGTTCAGTGCCTAGATCAGTCTTCTTCTCAACCCCAACTCCTTCCCTCATTCTAGGAGACTTCAATATACATGTTGATCTTACCTCAAATTTGCTAACTTCCCAGTTCCTCAATCTATTGAACTCCCATGACCTCTTCCTCCCCCCCCCATTTCAGCTACACACAGGGATGACCATATCCTTGATCCTGCCATTACCCCCAACTGTTGCACTTCCCTTTATCTTTCCTTATGCCTCATTCTCCTGACCCTAGTTTCCATCCTTACCGACAATCCCTCCATCTTTCAGTAATATACTAGGCTCTCACCCTGACTTTTGTTACTCTGTCCTATCTTCCCAATCTTGACCTCTTGGTGAAAGAGTTCAATACTACATTATGCTCTACTATTGAATCCCTTGCTCCCTTATCCTATTATGGATCCCACCTTGCCAAATACCAACTAGATTACTCCCACCATCTGCCTCCTTTGTTTCTATGGAATGGAACTGAAGGAAATCAGGAAACTTCCTACTAAGGTCACTATAAATTTATGCAAGTTAATCTTAATTGGGCCCTCACTACAGCAAGGCAATCTACTACTTCTAAGTGATCCCTTATCCCACTCACCACAGTAGTTCTAAATCTAATCTTTTCTTCTCAAGTCTCCCATGCTACTTTGACCTTCCACACTTTCTGCTGAAGATTTCACTTCATATTTCACTGATAAAATTGAGGTCATTTTCTGAGCGCTCCCTCTTCTTATCTCACGTACCTCTGACATCATGGTCTACTATCTTATTCTTCACTCCAATGTCTTACGATAAAGTGGCCCTTTGATTGCTAAGGCCAACTTTTCTAGGTATACTCTTGATCCCATCCCCTGCTGTCTTCTCCGGAAGACTGTTCTCACAATCATAATCCCTAATATCTTTCCAATCTTCATTTCTCTATATTGGCCATCCCTACTGCCTACAAACATGACTAAGTCTCCTCCATATTTAAAAAACTCTTACTGGATCCTATCATCCTATATCTCTCTTCCCCTTATCAGCTAAACTCCTTGAAAAAAGCCATGGATAACTGGCGTGTCCATTTCCTCTTCTCTCACTGTTTTTAAACCCTCTGCAGTTTGGCTTCTGACCTTACCATTCAACTGAAACTATTCTCTCTAAAGTTTCCAATGATCTAACTGCCAAATCTAATAGTTATTAATGGTATGTTGAGAATGTTATAAATTCCTGTACAGGTATAAACTGGATTAGATGGCTTTGAAATTCCTTTCCAACTATTATATTCTATCCTAAGTTCAAATACTTATTTCTTGCTGTGACCTTGGGCAAAATCATTTGACCTTTTGGGACATGGTATTCTTCAAATGTAATAAAATTAGGGGTTGGATCAAATTTCCTTTTCATCTCTGTATGGTTCTACCTATTTAAAAAACAAACAAACCTGGAAGCTTTGGGAATGGGTCCCTAAGCTATGAACTACCTTTAGGGAGGCCAGCTCTAACCTTGAACCTTCCTTCCTCCTTCCACTTCCCCTTCCCTTACACCCTCGTACACACTGGCTGCCGTCCTGCCCAGGACATTGGGCTGGGAGGACCAAGGATCTGACTCCAGGTGACAATTCTTGCCTTTGCTGTGGCCAGGCCACCTCCCCAGTGATCGCTGAACAATCAGCCCTGAAGCTTTCCTGGTTGACTGAGAGCTTGAATGACAGCAGGAGCTGAAGCGCATGAAATGCTGGAAGTATAACTTTTAACTGGTAGGCAGGCAGCTTAGCCTGGAAAACACCACGAACCCAAAAGGAGCCAGGCTGGGCTCAGGACAGACCCAGGATGAGGTGGGAGAATAGGGGATGGCACATCCGTGGGGAAACAGGGCAGTCCCTGCCAACAGTCCAATGGAGGGGACATTCCACGCGTGCTCAGTGGGTAGAAGCAGCTGCTCACGCACTCATCTTCACAGCCATCTAGGAGAGTCCCACAACCCGCAACCTGAGAAGACTGCCCCGCAAAAGCGATCCCTACTTCCCCACTGGGTGCCCTGCCATTCCCTCCCACTTGGCTGGGCACTCTTTGATACCATTTCTTAGGAAACACCTGGGGCCCTCAAGACCCCGAAAGCCATCCCCTTTTCCCCTCCCCATCTGTCTGGGCTCCCGCTGCCTCAGAGGTCTCTGTTCCGTGCCGCCCACCCCCATCCCCAGCATGTATGTCGGGGGAGTACTCGCTTTCCTGTCCTGTCTGGTCTCTTTCGGCCCCTCCTTGCATCCACTGAGCAGCTGACTCCCCCGGGGCTAGGAGCTCAGCTAGGACGGCCCCGCCAGGCCGCCCCCGCGCTCCAGCTTCAGGGGAGGACAGCCGCAGGCGCGCCCGGGTTCCGAGCTCAGTCCCTAACCAGTCCCTCTACTCCCTCCCCCACAGCCTAAGACGCTCCCGTTTGGCCCCGGGTCGGAGCAATCACCGAGGGCGAGGCTGGAATAGAGGAAGGGAACCAAAGGAGTGCCGCCTTCTCCTTTCCTCCCCGGGCATCGCCCTAGGATAAAAAAAAGAGAGAGGCCCCTCGGGACGGGCTCCGCCGTCCAGTCCCCTACGGTCTCAGCCCAGCCCCAGCCCGAGCCCCAGCCCCTCCCCTCGCCTCCCTTCTCCTCCCCTCCACAAGGCTCCTCCGCCGCCGCCCCCAGGCTCCAGACACAAAGGCGCAGAGGAAAGCGCAGCACTCACCGGACAGAGCTAGCGAGCGAGCGGGCTCCAGGCGCAGAGGGAAGGAGGGAGGGAGGGAGAGTGGGGGTGTGTGCGTGTGCGCATCTCTGTGTGTGTGTGTGTGTGTGTGTGTGTGTGCTTGTGCGTATCTATGTATGTGCGCGTGTGTGTGTGTAAGAGAAAGGGAGAGAGGGAGAGAGAGGGAGAGAGAGGGAGAGGGAGAGCGAGCTGCGGTGTGCGACAGGGTCCGACCGGCTGTGCGTGTGTAGCTGTGTGCGTCTGCGTGTGCCGTATGTCTCTCCGGGGGTCCTGGTGTCCGTGCGCGCTCCCCCGCCCCTCCGCACAGCGGGGACGCGGCGGCTCAGCTGCGGGTTTCGCCGGCGCAGCCGCTGGGGCTGTCTCTGCGCCCCCGCCCCCGGGCGCACTCCTCACCTCCCTTTCTCCTGGGGAATTGCGCAGGAACTGTGGGGTTTGGGTTGGGGGGCCAGGGATGGGGTAGAGGCGGTCCTCTGGCCAGAGCGAGCCCAGGGCAGGACCCTCGGCCGGGCTGGGCTTGGGGCCGGAGCCGCCCCCTCTTCCTCTTCTCTCTGCCTTGAGCGACAGGAGATACCGCCCCCGCACCCGCGTTTTCCTGAATAGGGTGAGAACTGGAGCATCCATTTCATTCATGATTTTCCTTCTGGGCCCCAGGCTGCAGTAGCCTAAGACCGAACGGGACGCGCAGTTACAGAATGGGACAGGAAGGGACAGAATGATGAGCAAAAAAGGGTATGGCAGGTATAAAGAGAATTTCAAGCAGGTAGAATTTGACAGGAACACACAGACGCACAGGTATACGTTCTATGTGAGGACTTGGACACATCAGTAACGCATTACCTTTACACATTTCTACACACTTCAATATGCGTGCTATATGCTTGTCGTGTGATATATAAATGTAGACCTCTCCCAGTTTCTCCCCCGGCATTCTAATAGGCCTAGAGGAAACTCAAGCATTGCTGTTGTTTTATTTGTACAAAGAAAGGAGGTGAAGTTTCCTCCCACCTTCGAGCTCTCCTTCCTTTTGACTCATGTCCCATGACACCCTGCGCCTTTCTGGCTTTGGCCCCAGGTGACAATGACAAAAATGGCTTCAGTATGTATGGGAACCCCAAACCCAGCTGTTCACAGACCGGCCTACCTCCCTGTCCTCCCCTCCCCAAAGCTAGCTTAATCAGTGCATAAGGATCCTTGGACTCTGTATGAGGCTTTACAGTTTGCAAAACATTGACACAGACAATTTCTCATTTTATCCACAGGCAAACCTATGAGATTGTTAATGCTTTAATCTTTTCATATTTCAATAGATCCATGATTATGTTGGTGCAGATGCTCTGCCTTGGTCTTAGAAGATGGCTCATGAGTTGCTGTGGCAAACATAAATCCATCACCTGCTTCTTCCCTTTCTCCTGATGAATCTTTCCATGCTCAGTCAATCTGATGTTTGAAGGACATTTGCCAGGCCTGCTTCTGAAGTCTTTCCAGTTTGGTAAGAACTGACTTAACTGGTAGAACTGGAAAATGTAGGTTCACCTCCATACAATGCTGAATCATTGAAAGACATTAATGAAAGGGTGATTATTAAGTCACGTCTTAGTAACCACATTTTACAAATGAGGAAACTGAGGCCAATAGATAAAGTAACTCACTTAAGGTCATACAGTGAGTCAGTGGCACAGCTGTATCTAGAATCAAGGGCTTTGAATCTCCTAGTCTCAAGACTCTATCCATCATACCAGCTGTCTCTGTCACTTGCCACCTGCTGCTCACAAGATATTCCAAGTTGAAACTCCATTTCCACTTCTTCCCTGGCTGATATACGTATTGGAGGGGATCCAGGGAAGGTCAAGAGATTATAGAGATTTTTCTGGGTGGAAGTAGGTGGGGAGAGAAACAAGTCATGGGACAGGATAATGGAGAGTAGGAAAGTAACAAAGGAAAATGACCAGGAAAGGAATGACAATTAATTAAAAGTATTAAAAGTGTTGACTGTGTTGTGCCTTGAAGTGTGTTAGGTGTTGGGGATACAAATAGAAAAGTGAGACTGTCCCTGCCCTCAAGGAGCTTACCTTCTTTTTTTTTTAAAATTAATTTTATTTATTGTTTTTAATTTTCAACATTCATTTTGAGTTCTAAATTTTCTACACCTTCCTCCGGTCCCCCTCCCCGCAACGGCATGCAATCTGATTTGGCTACATATGTATAATCATATTACACATATTTCCACATTAGTCATGTTGTAGAGAATTAGAACCAAAGGGAAAAATCACTAGAGAAGAAAAAAAAAAGAGAAAATAGTATGCTTCTATCTGTATCAGATTCTGTAGTTCTTTCTCTGGATGTGGATAGCATTTTCCATCATGAGTCTTTCGGAACTGTCTTAGATCATTGTATTGCTGAGAAGAGTTAAGTCTGTCAAAGTTGGTCATTGAACAATGTTGTTGTTACTGTGTACAATGTTCTCCTGGTTCTGCTCACTTCACTCAGCATCAATTCATGTCAGTCTTTCCAGGTTTTTCTGAAGTCCGCCTGCTCATCATTTCTTATGAAGCAATGGTATTCCATTATATCCATATACCACAGCTTGTTCAGCCATTTCCCAATTGATGGGCATCCCCTCAATTTCCAATTCTTGGCCACCACAAAAACAATTGCTCTAAATAGTTTTGTAAATGTGGGTCCTTTCCCCATTTTTATGATCTCTTTGGGATATAGCCCTAGAAGTGCTATTGCTGGGTCAAAGGGTGTGCACAGTTTTATAGCCCTTTGGGCATAGTTCCAAATTGAGGAGCTTACCTTCTAATAGGGGAAGGAAACATAGAGGGGAAGAGTGGCTAGGCAGGGGAATTTTGGTATGGATTGTGGGCAAAAGGATTATGAGCAAAGCCATATGGCAGTCTATTGATTTTTCTAGTAGCATGGCAATACTGATTTGATTACTGTCCTCAGAGCAAGAGGTGGAAAATGGAGGTGGGTAGGGTGAGAAATCAAGAGGCAGGGCATATGGCAAGATGCTTAGCTAGGCCTGGGTTTCCTGGTAAATGAGTGGTTGAGATATGAAGCATGGTCTGGGACTGGCTAGATAGAGTGGGTTAAGTGAGTTTGTACTATCTCACTCACCAGTCAAGATAGCAGCTCAGCCTCAAGGTGGGATTCCAAAGTTGAGTAGATCACTTTGGGGGAGAGGAAGGAATCACTTTGCAAGGTTCGGTCCTGAGGGTGATTTTCTAGGTTGGGAGAAGGAGATGGAGCAGCAACAGGAAAGAAAGCAAGACACCCTAGGCTTCGGTTTCCTGGAGGATGAGAAGAAGGGCTTCCCCCAACTCCTAACTGAAGTGTGCTAGTCAGCCCACTGGAGTTGTTTTCCAGGAGTTTATGTCAATACTGCTTCTTCTTTAATTCTCTCCTCCACCCCAAGTGTAGTGATAGTTACTGCAAAGAGTGCCAGGGAGATTCTCAATTACCTCTGGAGAAGTCCAATCTCCTTTACTGCTATGACTTGTTCCCTGGGTCAAAAGTAGATGATTAGAAGTTCTCCCCAAGTACTGGTGGGAGGGGGATAAAGGAACAGCTATGTCTCTGTCTCTTACTTCCTCGGTCTGTCTATCTCTGTCTTTATTTTCACTAACCTTTGATTTCCTTCATAATCTTCTGTATTTTATTTTATGCATTTATAAACATTATTCTGAGTAGGGGCCATAGGCTTCATCAGACTATTCAACATCCAGCCAATATCTGTGTATTCCATTATAGATATTCTGTTTGTGACAGAACCAATATCTACCCTAGTCTCTGCCCCCAAGATAGATTACGCTAGATTTTTCCTAAAAGGCAGGAAAGCCAGCTCTTCACTATCAGGGTCAAGGGTCAAGCTATACTTCCTTTGATGCAGCTTCCTGATAGCCTCTGGCTTGGATGATGTTGGTCATCTAGGGGCGTAAAAGGTCCCGTCCAAGAGATGTTGTTGCCCTTCAGACTTGGCAGGTGCCCCAAGGTCAGGTGAGTCATCCATACCCTACCTTGCTGACCTGACTCATTTCCATATGGGAACTGAGAGGGTAGGTGGTGTGCTAATGTATATCTTTCCAGGCCAGGCCTAAGTAAACGTTTTGTTAACTGTTCAATGATTTATGAATATCTAGTTTCATCACAGTATTGAACCTGAACTAAGAGTGTGCCATTGCCAAGTCTACCCCTAATGGGGTCCATGACCCAGAAAAGGTTAATCACTCCTGAGGGTAGCCAGTAATTAAATAAGAATATGAAGCATAAGACCAAAAGCCACGCTCAAAAGGCTTTCTGATTGGTTGAGAGGGAATTCGGCAAGTAGGAGTGAATTCCATATTAGTTTCATTAAAAGATGACATTCTTGTGTTGGGTGATGAGAAAAGTAGCATGGCAGAGTATGAGTACCATGCCAGGCCTGGAAAACTTTAGATTGAAAATAACTTAGCATGTTCAGGCACACTCAGCCCCTTGGGTAAGGTAAGGTTGGGTATGAGCCTTTGCACATCTTTTTAAGTTTTGCTATTTCTGGATGTGAACATTCCTATAAAATATGCTTTTTGTGGTCTATTGCTAGGGCACGACTTCAGAGTGAAGAAGGCAAAATGTGGAGTGCTATAATTTGATATGCTCTTATACTGTCGGTGCAGACAATTGGGTTAGTGCATCAGTAAATAAGTGGGGTTGATTTCTAAAAAGCTAAGGAGTTGATCAGGCTCAAGGACCAAGAAGGCCAGATGGGGGTTGGTGCAGTCAGAGGTTAGGAATCAGAGAGGTTCATAAAATAGTAAAGGAGGAATCCTTCAGGCCAAGGGCAGGAGTCCTTTGGATCAGTCCCAAGAAGCACCTGATACCTCCGGAAGCTGATGTGATCAGCAAGGCTCAAGGCTCAGGGTCTTTTACAGGACAGAAATGGTTGTGAATATTAAGGATGAAAACCAGGAACTTTGCAGGAAACATTTGATTTCAAGGGGGAGGACATTTCTCCCATAATTAAGAGCTCACAGCTGGCCTTATATTTCCTTGTTACCGTTCTTCCTTGTGACAGCCAAGGACATTGGAAAGAGACAAGCTTTGGCCAAATCCACCTGCAATGGTGGAGGGTGCCACCTTCTTGTTTGGAGCTTTTCTGGTTGATTGACACCCTGCCTGTGATGCCAACTGAACACCAGGGTAGGGCAGGCATTAGCCTGCTAATCTCAAGGTGAAATAACCAAAGGTTTTGGTTGTCTGTCGTCATGGGGAGAAAAGTATCAGGATTTCCTAGTGGAGTGAAATCACTGGAGACACTGAAAAGTAAATATTTACATTTTTTACTCCACACCCATCGCTGGGATATATTCTTGGAACAGAGATAGAAAGGCTTGTGTAATGAAGAGCTGAACTGTGTAGCAGACACGCACCAAGAGAGCAGGAAAGATAAACTCCTACCCCCAGTATAAGACATTGGAGAATGCAAGAACTGGAAATGGCCTTACTGGTCATCTAGCTGGATCATCTTTCCATTTGATAGAGGAGGAAATTGAGGCCCAGAGAGAGGAAATTGCTTTCCCAGGGTCACCTAGCAAGCAAGTGGCCCAGCAGGTGGTGTGGTGGATAGAACAGTGATCCTAGAGTCAGGAAGACTGGGGTTCAAATCCAGCCTCAGACACTTTCGAGCTGTGTGACCTTGGGCAAGTCACTTGTATGGTTTTTTTCTCAGTTTATTCAACTGTTAAATGGGGATTAGAATTGCATCTACCTTGTAAGTTCCTTGAGGACAGGGCCTGTGTTTTGCCTCTTTTTGTATCCCCAACACTTAGCCTAGTGCCTGGCACATAGTAGGTGCTTAATAAAATGTTAATTGATTGATTAATTGATTAAGTGCAGGTTTGTTTTGAGGATCAAATGAGATATTTGTTAAAACAGCATAATGCCTGGCACATAATAAGTGCTTAATAAATGCATATTGCTTGAATGATTGAGTGAATGAGTGAGTTCAGGGTTGTTGTGAGAATCAAATGAGATAATATTTGTAAAAACACTTAGCATAGAACCTGATACATACTAGGGCTTATATAAATGCTTATTCTGTACCCCCAGCCCCCACCCCCAAGCTGGCACTATAAACCAAGTATCTAGATTCCTTTCTAGATGGTCTTTCTCATTGTATCATGTTACCTTTTATGTCTTTCTCCTTCATATTCCAATTTGTATAACTCCATGGATAGAGGAGTTTTTGAGAGAATGCAAATTTAAGGATTCCAAGCCAAATTATGCTTACTATGTCCCCTGCAAAATATTTTAGGAACATGGTTATTTTTCTATGATATGCTGAGCATGATGATTAGCCATTAGCAACCCACCAGTGGGTTGGAGGCATGAGTTAGGAACCTGCCTGCTCAGCCACCCTTGGCAATATGGTAACTTAACAGCTGACATCCAATTACCTTCTGGCTTTTTGGAAAGGGGTGGGGCATAATGCCTCAGTGTTTCCCCACTGGGTTTGAGACAGAACAACATGTAGGCCTTATGGAGCCATTTCTGCTGAATTGGAGGGGCAGCTTTTTATGAATAAGGCAGGATTCTCATGATTAAAAGATTACTATTCCTTGGAAAAGGAGGCATACTGACTTTCAGATATAGCAAAAATAGAAATGTAGAAGGTACACAATTTTGACTTAAGAAATCATCATATCTGATCAGGTTCAGGTTGTAGCAAGAAGGCTAGACAAAAGTGGCTGGGGTAGAAGTAGCAGATAGGGCTTGAAGACACAGGTTTTCTGCTGTCTTCTCTTTACCTTGAGAGACAGTGTAGTATAGTATCTAGAGAACTGTTCTCAGAACCAGGAAGACCTGTGTTCAGTTCCCCCCCTTGGATTATATACCTTTCTGATAACATAACACCTGTGTGACCTTGGATATGTGACTTTACCTCTTTCTCAGTGTTCTAGGCAGCTTCCTAGGACTAAAAGTTACAGGGAAGTTGATGACTGGCATTGGTAAAAGGAGTTTCCTCATCTGGAAGATCCCTATATCTCATAGACTTAGTATCTATCAATCAGTAAATACTTATTAAATATCTACTATGTCAGGCACTGTGCTAAGCACTGGAGATACAAAAAGAGACAAAAGATGGTCCCTGCCCTCGAAGGACTTACAGTCTAATGAGGAAGACAACATGCAAACAAATATACCCAAAGCAAGGATATATGCGATAAATAGGAAATAATTAACAGAGGGAAGGCCCTGGAAATAATTACCTGTCCTTATGTTCTTTAACTTGACCTCTGTCATTTCTGTCAAACTGATAGTCTCTTTCTGGGTACTTCATCTCATTCATGTCTCCTTCATTTCTCATTCATTAGAGAACAAAGTTCAGTCAATCAACAAACTTTGGAGCACCTACTTTGTCAAACACTGTGCAAGTTTCTGTGACTATAAATACAAAGTAGGACATAATCCTTATTCTCACATTCTAATGGGGAGGCAGCAAGTATGTGTATAAGCGTAATGGGGGTCTGGGACATGTGCAGACCTCATCGGCTCACTTGGCTGGTGCAATTTCTCCACATAGAGGACACTAGGGAGATGACTTCTAGGAGAATAGTGATGCCATGTAAAGAAAGGGCCTTGGAGAGACTGTGGAGCATATGTGGACATTCTGTAACTGGTTTTAGTTGGTTAACCATATGGCTATGTAGCCAAAACTGTTGGCATCTTCAAAAAGCAATTGTGGGTGCTTCTATTTGCTCCATTCATATCTGGGAGAGCCTGGTGACTCTTCCTCTCTCTTATCCAGGGAGAGGTTCTAGTGAAAGGGGAAAGGCTTCAGGACCTTCATCCCCTCTGAGACCATACGGCCCCCCCAAAATGGTCCTGGGTTCTTGGCCTTTTCATTTTTTTCTGTTTTATATGCAGAGAGCAAAGTGTCTAGACTTGATGTTTGGAGAATGAGCCAAAGGAATCTGGCCATTGGAGCGTAGGCTGGGTATCACAGCCAGCTCAGCACCAAGGCCCTGAGGATCAAGCAGAGACCTCTGAGATGCCATCCCAGTAAGAAGACTCACATTGCAGTCATGCCACACCTGGACATGAGCTTGGTGGGACAAATTTTATGTAGGAACTGAGTTAAGTTTTGAGCCTACCCTCTCAGAGATTGAGGTGGTAGTGTAGGAGAGAGTGTGCTCTGAAGGTATTGAGGGCAACATTTGTTCTTGATATATTTTTGTAAAAGGTATCTGGCGTTAAATGGTTAAATGGAACAGTATGCCAGTCACTGGCCCTTTCCAATTGGAGGGATCATGACTGGTAGGAGCTTAAACCAATGGCAAAGAAAAGAAAAACCCTAACCACTCAGCTTGCCATCGGACCTCGAGGAGAAGATGTGGTAGGCCAAGCTCTGAGAGAGAAGGGTCAGAGCCTTAATGCTACATTAGTATATACAGAATAAATATAAATAGAATAAATCTTTCTTTAAAAAATAATTGTGCTCCTCATATGTTTATAAATTAAGAATTCAATTTTCATCACACTGAAGTCAATTATTTATGTATTTGTATGTTTGTATTGTGCTAGAAATTTCCCTTCGTGGTCCATTGTAACTTATATGCCTAGAAGTAGTCAATCAATCATCAAACATTTATTAACTTCTTATTATGTGCCAGGTACTGTGCTAGGCACTGTGGATATAAAGACAAAAATGAAACAGCTCTTGCCCGCAAGAAGCTTACATTCTATAGGGGAGGCAACATGTGCCCATGCAAATAAATGCAATATATACAATTAGCTCTCTCCCTTTTCTGTGGCAACATCACATTCTGCCTGCCCAGTGCTCTATTGACTAGTGCCTAGTGCATCTGAGCCCTCAACACATTGGGGCAACCTTGTTTAACAAGTCTGTTCTTCTCTTGTAGGTCCTTGGGGAATGCAGGGGCTGCAGCTACAAAGCTCATATTATAGGAAGGCAGAGGAGGTTCTGGCTGGCTGCTGTGATGTGAGGGTTGTAAGGAAAATCCCTGTGCTTAAAGTGAAACAGATCTCTCCTACCACTTGTCTGAAATCCCTCAAAGAAAGCTTCATTCTTGCTTCTCACTTTTCTGAGGTCTTAGTGACAAAGCAGGTGCCTCTAGAAAGGACACCTTTGAGCCATTGTGCTAGGTGTCTGCTAAGAGCAGATCCCCAAAAGAGGGACGCATATAAAGAGCTCCTCAGGGTCAGGACTACTGCTGGAAAGGGGGCACAGACAAACCTCATTGATGGCACAATCTTTAAGGCTTCAGTTGGTTCAATGAACTTTAGTGATGGAATCATGGAGTCCCCAAATCTCAGAACCAAAAGAATGTCAGAACTTATCTAGGCCATCTATACCCCAAGCATGAAGTCTGTCTATCACGTCTATTTGAAGACTTCCAGTGAAAAAGGAACCCACTGCCACCTCAAATTGCAGCCTGGTCCACTTAGGGACAGCACTAATTTTTAGGAAACTATCCCGTATATAATGAGGACTGACCAGTGGGAGCCCCATCTCAGATCATGCAAAGGGTGCTCTATCTGCTGCCAGACCATATGGGGCGGCTGCATGAACTTCCTTCTGGAAACGTGTGATAACCTGTAGTGGAAGGGCCCCATTCTCTACTTCAAGACATGCACAGCTGTTCTTTGACTGTTTCTAGCTGCTGAGCCAAAATTGAATGTGATGCACTACACTAACTATACAAATCACATTCTCTTCCCTGGTAGTGAGTGAGGCAACATGGGAATAAGCCTCCAGGTGGGAACTGAGGTAGTAGCCGTAGTAGCAATGGCCACCTGCTGCCTTTCTCCCCATCTGAACTGTTACATGGCCTCTGTTTCTTTGCCTTGTTACATTTAGTCTTTCTCACCTGGGGATCCATGAGCTTGTTTGAAAACGTTTCCGTAAGTGTATTTTTGTATAATTGGGTTCCTTTGCAGTCCGAAGTATTTTACTTTTATGTGTTTAAGAACACTTCTGAGGAGGCTTCATCAGACTGCCAAGAGTCCATGTCACAAAAATGGTTAAGAATCCATCTTAGGTAAAGGAGATAGGATGAATTAAGTTGTGACTCGTAAGCTTTGAAAAGTAGAGAGAGCCATCAGCAGTCCAGGAACTGGAGTGTGTAGCACAGTTTGTCTTTATCTGAGCCTGGTGAGGTGTCCGCAAGGTCAGGAGTTATCTGCTTGACACAGCTCAGCACTCGACTGACACCAAGATGCCTGTAACAACAGTAAGGCATTGATTCTGTAAAGTGACTCTGAAACAAATTGGTGTGGAGAAGGCCTTATGTTTGACCTTACCCTCCCCAGGACCTGAGGTAGTATTGGGGAAGAATGGACCCCACACCTGGGGCATGTTTGTATTTTGGTTCTTGCTACTTGATATTAATTGGTTAAATGATATTGGGTCTCTAATCATTAGATAATTGATACTGGAGAAAACACTTCTTATCGGGGACTTGAGTTGATAGCATTAGAAAGAAGGACCCCAGCTGCTCAGGATACCTCGAAAACTCTGAAGGGGTGATAGAGCCTTGCTCTGGGAACCCAACTGGCTAGTGAGTGGGAGTTGGGATCCTAGAGTCTACACCTAAGCTTGCTTAGGGATGGGGACCTACTTGCCAGTGACAATGGGAGCTGAGATAGGGACCTCTCCTTCCCAGGTTTATTGATGTTGCGCTAATACTGAGCTCAAGTCTGTCTTTCTGAAACTTCTGCCCATAGTTCCTCATTCCTTCCTCTAGGTCCAAGCAGAGCGTCTCTGATCTCTCTTCCACATAAAGAAGGACTGGCCGTCCTTGGGTCTTGATAAGTTCTCTTCTGATCTTACCTTTCCTGATGTACTCATCAAAAACAAGTCAATTTCTCTCCCTCCGTCCATCAGTCTCAATGTGGAGGCTGGAGTGAGCACATACACATGCACAAAGTATAGGCTGGTCTCCCTCCCACAGGACAAGGGGAAAGACGTTCTTATTTTTCCTATTATCAGCAAGAATGGAGTGTTCCTTGAAATAATGAAAGGAGTGCTTCAAAGAGAAAACAAAGAAAGGAGTCCTAACCTGTGTCAGGAGGTTGGAGGGTAGTAGAATGGGAAAGGAAAGGAGCTGGGGTTCTCTCTGTGGAGGGAGGACTTAGACCACCTTTGGAAGAAGCAGCCTTTTGTGCTTTGAGGAGTGCTAGAGTGTGTCTGCCAAGAACGTTAAGACAGATCTTTTCATAATGCTCAGAGGAAGAAGAACCTATTAGTGGTAGCCCATGCCTCCCTGATAAGAGTTACAGAAGCAGCTATTTATTAACCTAAAATAAACAACACAGTAGGTCTGCAGCCTCCCCATTGTGTCTCAATTTGTTAACTCTTATTTTGGTCTCTGATATCAAAATAATAAAGAGACTTACTTTAGAATCCTCAATATATATTTATATATTTTCTATGTTTATATCATATATAATTATATATATTTACACACACACACACACACGTATTATATGAAAATATATGGGATCATTGAGCTAGAGTTGCCAATTAATGGGTTTGGTCAACCAAGTGATGAGTTTGCATTATTCCCTTGGCTGAATCTTTAGCAAACAATCAACTGGACTAGCATAGCTGACATGGTTAGCACTTTGCTGAATCTGTCAGAATGTTACAGAAGAATAGGGAGGAAAAGAGTTGACTTGGAATGGAAACCCAAGATAAGTGAGGGATGGTGAGAGCTGTCTTCAACGAGGTCATATTCAGATTTTTACTAAGTATGTGACCTTGGGTTAATCACTTAACCTCTCTGTTCCTCATTTTCCTCATCTGTAAAATGAGAGGTTTAGACTTGAAGACTTCTAAAGTTCCTTTTGTATCAAAAAACTATCATCATATGATTCTAAGTTACCAGCCCCAGATGCAAGAACCAGGACGATGAAAGAACTGACCAGCGTGATTGGTTCTTCACTGTCAGTGACCTCTGAAAGATTGCAGAGAGCCAGAGAAGTGCCAGAGCACTATAATAAAAGGTTGAATGTTGGACCAGTGATCAAAAAGGGAAATGAGCGAAGCCTTCAAACTTCAGGGAGTCGGTGAGTTTGTTCAATTCCTAGTAAAACTCAGGAACATCTCATTAAAGGGATGGTCCGTGAACATTCACAAAGGGAAATGGTTATCACTAAGTAGCAGCATGACTTCATCAAAAGCAGGTCATGTTGTATTGACCTCATTTGTAGGCAAATTCTCTCTAGCTGTGGTACACTTAGATTTCAGCAAAACATTTGACAGTCTCCCATGCTGTTATTGTGGGGCGAAAATGGCACGACATGGGTTAGTGGATGGCACACATTTGGAGCTGATTGAATCTCTGGACCCAAAGAGTAGGCATTAATAGGACAATGTCAAGTTTCAATTGGGTCTTCAGTGGTGTGCTTCAAGGCTCTGTCCTTGGCCCTGTGGTGTTTAACATTATTATCAATGACTTGGATGAAGACATAGTTACCTTGTTTATCAAATATACAGAAAACATGAAGCTGGGACTGACCCAACTAGAAGGGACCTTGGAAACCATTGAGTTTTACTCCCTTTCATTTTATAGATGTGAAGACAGACCCAAGGAGGTTAATGTCTTGCCTAACATCATAAGATGGCATTTAATAGGTATATATGTAAAGCTCTACATTTGGGATGAAAAACAAAGCAAAACAAAACAAAAACAAACCAACATCATGAGGAAACAAAATGGGGAGGCAAGGATAGCCAACAAATTATAAGAAAAACTAATGGGGGGGCTTTCAGTGGATTGTAATTTGCACTTGAGTTGAATGTGATATGGAAGTCCCAAAAGATTTTTGGACTGTATTAAGAGAAGCATAGTGTCCAAGACTAAGGAGGTGGTAATCCTACTGTACTCTGCCCTGGTCAGACCATAAGTAGATTATTGTGGTCTGCTCATTGTAGTGAAAAGTGTGCTGGACTTGGGATAGGATTTATCTGGATTTGAATCCAGTCTCTGACCCTTAATTACTAGCTGTGTGAGCATGGGTGAATCACTTAACCTCTCTGATCCTTGGTTTTCTAATTTGTAAAATGTGAATGATGATACTGGCAACACCTACTTTTCAAGGGTGTGAAAATCAAAAGCCATAAGATGTCTAAAGTTCTTTGTAAGCCTTAGAAGTGCTAAATAAATATCTGGTGCTGTGACGATTGCTGCTACAATGGGTACCATATTTTAAGAAGTATATTTAGCCCCTCCCATTACTCTTCTTGCCTTCATACTCAATCCCAGTCTCATATGTGGGGTGCCCCTAGATTGCTCCACGGCTCTGGGGGTGGGGAGGGATGGGATGGCTGCAGATTTTCATTGTGGAACATTGTAACTGAAAATCTTTTGTAAATTTTAGGGAGGACAGTGGATCATGTTGGATTATCTGATCATTGAGTTGATGAGAACATTGTCTTATTTGCTAGTTTTTATTTCCTTTGGTCTTAAGGAAAGGAAAGTTAGCCAGTGATTAGGCTATGGGTAGAATATCCCAAAAGATGTTATCTTCAGGCAGGCCCTGGTTCCGAGTGAAAGCAAATGAGCTTAAGTCAGAGTGTCCAGGTGAAGGAATTCCAAATATGAATGGAAACATTCTGGCACACAGGCTGTTGTTGTTATCCTTAAGCCACAAAGGAATGACAGTTATAGGAGCTCTGCACAAAGAAGGGAGCCATCCTAGTCATGGGCTCCGCCAGGGTAACTTTAGGGAGATGGTGAGACTAGCAAATTGGAAGCCATCTTGTTGGCATAAAGATGCCCACTGCTGAGAAATCTTCCCCAGGTGGGGAGCTGGTGGATTTTTGTTGTATAAAAGTCCTTATGTCAAATCTGCAGGCCATGTCTTATTTTCTCTTAGATATTCTCTGTGCCCATATTCTAGAATGGCACAAGTTCCAAATGTGGACCCCACAAGATAGTCATAAACATGTCCCACGAGCTCCTGCCTGCCTCCTCCAAAGATAGAGCAGCTAGGGCCAAACAGAGAGGTGGAAGGGTGAAACCTGCGCAGTCACAGCTAAGCCATCACAAGCTTCTGTGAGCGTCTACCTGCCGTTTGCCTCTCCACTCATACTCCATACTGTGCTTCTCATAGGAGACAGGCCAGTCTGAGCAGGGTACCTTAGCACTGAAGACAAACTAGCTAAACCTAAACCTGTTCGGAGGGGAGCCCCGAAAGCTCAATTCTGAGGCATAGCCCCAGCTATGTTCCTCCACCCCCACCATTGTTGCAAACTCTAATTAGGTTGAGTAGAGTTCTTTTAAATGCACTCCTAATTACCTTACCCTAGTGTATTATTTAACTAATATTCTCTTTTCTTTTGTTAACAATAATAGCTTACACTTATGTAGCTTACAAAGGGCACTTTCCTGTAAATACATGCAACCTGGCTACCATATGACTCTATAATGGCTTACTCTCCCGGGTTTGGGGAGGGGGAAGGGGAGAGGGAGGGTTTTGGTTCATCATGGTTAAGCAAGTACAGCTTGAATACAACACCCCGTGCAGTTTCTACCAACAAATCAGAGAATAATAATAAAGCAAATAGCAGAACTTTTAATTAGGACAGAATAGTAAAGTAAATAACAAGGGGAAATCAAAGATTAGAATTATTCTCCACCCACCCATACACAAAGAGGTATAATTTCCCACAGATCTGCATCTGCAGGAGAGGGAACACTCCTGGGCTCTCCCTAATCAGTATGGTATAGTGGAAAAAATGCTGGATTTGAAATTCTAGTCCTACCCTCGTCATTTACTGTCTGTGTGACCTTGAGAAAGGTCATGATTAATCACTCGGAGCATCAGCTTTTTATATGTGTGAAATGAGGATCTTTTCTAGCTCTAAATTTTGCTTTTATTATCCTATGACAACTCCTGCTTTGAACTCTTTCTGCTTTGCTTGCATCATAGCGATGCCTTGGTCTCCCAGCAACTATTTCACTCCACCTCCCAAGATGCCATTTACTACTTCTCTAGCAAGGTGTTGCTGCTGGAACTGTCATCTGTTACTGGAGCTTCTTATTTTTTTAAAGGAAATATTATCATTCTTTTATAAGACAGCCCCTGTCAAGAGGCCTAGGAGGTAATACCAGGCCTATAGCTATGATCAACCAGGACACAAAAGTGCCCCTTAGACAGCTGCCAAGATCTCCCTTTAAAAATTTTTGAATCAAAAAGCTCAAATGAAAAGCTTATTAGGGGTTTTAAAAATTATGTCTTGTATTTTAGATTTAAAAAAAATAATTTCGATTGATATCTTTTGTTTTTACATCACTTACATTTTGTAATGTAGACCTGTCCCCCCCATCTCCTATAGAGGCATCTTTTATATTAAAATGCAAAAAAACCTTTATTTTAAAATGTAAAAAATATTCTTAGCTGGGGATGTACAAAAAACAGGTGGCAGGCCAGATGACTGGTGGGCCACAGTTTGCCCACCCTTGCTTCATAGCAAAAAACTTTTAAAGCAATTCAGAAAAACTAACCAATGTATGAAAAAAAGGCTGACATTATCTATATGTCTGCATATTCCGTATCCATAGTCACCCACCTCTAAAAAGAAGGGAGGTACCTTCTCCTCTCTTTCCTTTGGAGCCATCCTTGATCATTAGAATTTCATCACATTCAATTTCTTTACACATACATTATTGCAGTAGTTATATTCTTTCCCTGGTTCTGTTTACTTCACTTTGCATCAGTCTATATGTCTTCCCATGCTCTCTGATTTCATCATATTTAATATTTCTCACAGCTCAGTAATATTCCATTACATTCATGTACCATGACTGGGTTAGTCATTCCCCAACGTTGGGCAACTCTTTTATTTCTAGTTCTTTGCTACTACAAAACCCTAACCCTGCTTTTTGACTTCACTCACTCCCTATCAATGGAAGCCTTCTAAGCCTTTCTTACCATGAGGATAAGGCTAGTAAATGCCTTTTGACTCCCATAACACCCTGATAGCTAGTTCTAGAACCTGGCAAGTTCCCTGGAAACTTAGGTAAGTCTAAAGAGGACACTTAGCAATACTGGAGGAACTAAATTGGAGCTGTTAACCTCTGCCCTGAATTCCTGCTGCTTTAGCAGGACCTTAATATCCTTACTTGTATTCAAGATGGCTCAAATGAGCCTCAGATGAGGATTTTTTTAATCACAGCCCTAAATTTGGAGTTAGAGGACCGTGTTTGAGTTCTGACTCTGTCTCTTATTTGTATGACTGGTTTGGTAAATCATTTACCATTTCTTGGCTCAAGTCTCCTCATTTATCAAATGGCGATAATAATCCTTCCAGATTGTTTCACAAAGTTGTTATGTAGATCAAATGAGCTGTTGTATGAAAACCAATCTGTAACTATTTGTGGGACCCAAGTTGCAACTATGATTATGGTGATGATGATAATGATGATAATGGTGGTGGTGATGATGGTGATGTTGGTGATGATTATGGTGATGATGGTGGTGGTGATGGTGATGATGATGCAGTAAAGAGAAAAGATGGTAGATGCCAGTCATGGTACCAGAATTTCAGAGCAAATGACTTCCAGGTGCAAATAGCTTATTTTTCTTTTTTGAATTCCAGCACCACATTGCTAACCTCTGACTTGACATCTTCACCTAGATGTCCTGTGTAAATCATAACCTAATCAAGTCTAATACAGAACTTATTATCTTCTTTCCCTAATGTTCTTCTCTTCCAAGTTTCTCTGTTTCTGTTGAGAGCATTAGTATCCTTCCACTTCAGCCTCAAAAGCATCCTTGCCTCTTCCCTCTTGGCCATTCAGTTGCCAAGTTTTATTTCTGCTGCTGCTACCGTATTTCCCTCCTGTCCTCTGTTTCTCCACTCACCTGCTCACTTCTCTAGTCAGGCTTTTATCACCCCTCATCTGGACTGTTGTAGTAGCCTCGTCATTGTTCTCCTTGCTTCCAGTTTCTCTACTCTTCATTCCATTCTCCACAATCTGTCAAATTAAATTTTCCCAGAATGCAGATTTGATCACATCATCCTCCTTCTCAAAATTCTATTGCTTCTAATATACGACACAAACTATTAGCCTGACATTTGCAAGCCATAATAAGCTGTTTGCCAGCTAGCTTCCCAGAATTGTTTCCTGTTACTCTCTTTCACGCACTCTGATTCCTAGCCAAACAGGCCAACTTGCTGTTCCCTGGACCTGACATTCCACCAAGCACCTCTGTGTTGTCTCCCTCCCTCTGCCTCTTAAAAGCCCCAGCTTCCCCCAGGGCTGCACTGAGGTGCTATCTTTCCTGAGTCCCTACTCTGCTTTTTATTGCTCTCTGTCTCTCCTCAAATGAGCTTATCTTTACCCTCTCTGTCTATAGGCTGACTTTCTCCCCTTCCCCCCTTCTCCGTCCAAGACCGTAGGCTCCTTGAGGACAGCAAGTGTTTGTTTTCTTTTTCTTTTTGTGTCTCCAGTCTAGCACTGTGCTTTGCTCATAACAGATGCTGAACAAATGCTCTTTGAATTGAATTGAATTAAATCAAGAGAGTTGAGAGGATGTGGAAAGTGTCCTCTATGATATTGACAGCAAAAAGTTTGGAGGTATCCCAAGTATCTCTGGCTTCCTTCAACCCCTACTGTGGATTGATGGCTCACCGATTTATCTCAGTGCTTCCGGAGCCCTATTTATATACCCTGCCTCCTGTACCCCCTCCTGAAGCTGAGAGGCCCATTAAATTATTTGCCTTATTGATATGAAGTGCTCTGAAGCAATTTTTCAGATGTACTGCACTCCCCTGGAGGTCACCAATTTTAGGTCAAAGCCCAACGGCTACTTAGTTTGTCTCTCATCACCCTTGGAGAACCTAAGTCACAAAAACTCTTGAGTTTCTGAGCCAGTGAGGACCAGGTCTGGCTGCCTTCCACTCTGTCTTCCAAACCTTTCCTTTTAGGTTCCTCTTCCAGGTAAGGTTCTGGAGACATTTTGCATCCCCTACCTCCACTCCCAACACAAACACATACGTACACATGCACTGGTTCCCAGTCTATTCTGTTTCTAGGTGGGTCTATTCCTTGGCAACAGGAGCATGGCTCAAACAACAAGAAGGACCACTCAATGATTTGGGTGAGGGCATTCTTTCTCTCAGTGCTCCCATGGGCAAAACTGGGGACTTATTCTTCATGGAGAATTTTGCTTTGAAATGCAGTTGCTATTTTTGTAAAAAGCTGCAGAAGGATGCTTGGGGTAGACAGGTAGGCAAGCAGTAGAGGAGAGGGGGTCAATTTTGTATCTTGGTGTGTCTCTGGGAGTCATTCCTTGAGAAACTGGCTGGAGAGAGGATAGGGGAGAGGAAAAGGGATTGCAGATGACAAGTTGGTCAATCAACATCCTCATTTTACAGATGAGGCCACTGAGGTTCTGAAAGGTTATCTTCTCCAATGTATATCTCCTTATTTGCTATTGTGGTGCCTGTCACTAATGGGCACTGTGAATGGTGTCCAGTGTTCTATTATTCTTGTTAAGAGGCCTGAGGTAATTCTTATTTAAGCCCTTCTAAACCTATCTGAGAATCTGACCACATCCCCTTATGTTTTTCTGCCACCAGCTATGATGATGATGACGATGACGACAAAGACGATGATGATGATGATGATAATGATGATGTAGTAAGGGGAAAAGAGGGTTGGTGTGAATCCTAGTATCAGAATCTCAGAGCAAAGGACTTCCAGGTCCAAACAGACAGCTTATCTTTCTTTTTTGAATTCCAGAACCATATTGCCAAATTCTGGCTAGACATCTTCACCCAGATATCTTGTGTGCATCTTAGCCTAAGCATGTCCAAACCAGAACTCACTATCTTCTTTCCCTAAACTTCTCCCAAGTTTCTCTATTTCTGTTGAGAGTATTACTACCCTTCCACTGACCTAGTTTTGTAGCCTCAGAATCATTCTTGACTCAACACTTCATCCTCTGTGCTGATAGGTGCCCAAGTGTTTTGGTAGCTATGACTAAGCAGACTGGTCACTCTGGAATTTGTGGAAAACAAATACAAAAATAACATAAAGATGTGTGGCTGACAAGTAAAAAGTTCATACATTTATTTATAAACCAATAATACCAAAGACTTGATAAATGGAATCAATACCCCATAAAGAAAATTATATAAGATAAGATTAGAGCCTTTATTTGCATTTACTTGTCAGCTAGAGATATCTTTTATACATATAATCATGGCCCTGTCAGCCAATGGGCTAGTCCCAGACTTCCTGTCCCTCTTTTTATTTCTTCCATGCCTCTAATACCAATCTGGCCAAATTGCCCTTTGCTGGCATCACTACCTGAGGAAGCAGGAAGTTCACTTTGACTGGGTCCCTGATAACTCTGGAGCTCTCTCCATGAGCTCTGGGTGTTGTTATCTCCTGACAAGACACTGATAGCTTCCAGAGGTATACTGGATACTATCAGGACTTAGCAGCTAAGTGGTACATGGTAGAAGGAGAAGAGTATTAATGGATGTAAGAAGATGCAATGGAAATTGTTTCTTGGGGGAAGCAAGAGCTATGGGTAATTGATGTTGTATATGCTGCAGGATAACCCTATGTTGGTTGGTTATACTCCTTTCTATCTTTTCTCCTCCCTCCCTATCCCTTGAAAAACAAAAACAAAAAAAACCCCAAACCCAAACCAAACCAAACCAACCCCCCCCCAAAGCTAATTAAGGAAAACCAACCAATACTGTGACCTCATTCTATAACATGTATAGTGTTAATCACTCAAAGGGCTCACACCTCTAATTTCTAACTCTAAGTTAGAATGAGGGTTATGAGATATCTTGCTTGCCCTTAGTGATCAAGAAACAGAGGGAAAAAAGTAGATTTAAGCCAGCATCTACTGGATATCTGGGACTATTTTGTGTTATAATAAGCTTTTTAGGGGTGAGGAATCTCCCTTTTTAGAGAAAGCTTCTATTTTAACCAAGACCTGGAAATAGATCCTTTTTATGGAAGGAAATCCCACATAGTTTCCCCCACCTCCCTAATCCTCATTCTGATGACTGTATAAAGGTGCTGCCCTTCTAAAAGACCGATAGAAGGAAGCCTTTGGATTTCAGGCTCCATTACTCCTCTTCTGGAGAGGGAATAGAACTTCAGCTTAGGACTCCAGCCAAAGTCAAAATCTGGAAGTAGAAAGAAATCCTACAATCAGATATCCAGTGCAGTCCTACTTTGTCGCGATTAGCATTTTCCAGAAAACAGTCAGATGACGGTCATTGGAGACCAACAGGGAGTAATAATAGCCGACATACTATTACATGCCATACATGTGATACCCATACATGTGGCAGAGACTACATTTATGGCAGAGATCACACATCATACAAGACCAGTGGGAAATAGGCCTGCATAAAATGATGACATTGGTAGCATTGTAGGTACACGTTGTCACTCCATGCATATAGCCTTCCATAAGTGGTGTTTGTGTTAGTGGGAGAGGATGTCCCAGGTTTACAGGGGAAATATTTTATCCTTAATTTTCTTTCTATATTATTTCATTAGGTGTCAGGGTTTAAGGTATACACCCCAGATGTGTGGTCTATATAGGGTGGTCACTCTTCTCTTTATACCTACTACTGAGCCATTTTCCTTACTTATTCTCATTATATCAAGTACAAAGACAAATCAGGGGGTATGTCCCTCATAAATGATTGAAATTGCAAAATTTTATATTTTTGTCTATTCCCATAAACTTTTTCTCATCTCTTTTGATAGATTAAATCCAGTAATTTCCTAGGCTTCAGTAAATATCATTGCTGGTTTTACAATTATTTTTTAAATAATGTAACACAGATATAACTATTTACAATGCATCACTGTGAGAAAACTCGCTGCCAATGTCATCTCCTATCATTACTGCAACTGCTGGCTTCTCAGTTCTGGAAACAGGGACCCTCCTTTCAGCTCTCTCAGGATGACAGTGAAAGGCTTTTCAGAAATCTTTCAATAATTCAGTGTTTCTGGAAAGAAGTCTTCCTGTATCTCATATTCTTTCTCTAGCTATCACAGTTAGCTTTCCAGAATAACAGTCAAACTGGCAGTCTCTTAAGATTCCAATTTATCTTAAAGGTACAGTGACAGTAATGCATAGTCTCTCTGGGAGAGGCTATTGAAACTGTAGTTACAATCAAATATTTTTACTTAGAATTAATTGTGTCTTCTGGTTGACAAGAAAAAGGGAACCCATTAATGAGGATTCATGAGCTGTGGTTTTCAGTATCTTAAACCTAGGGTGTTCTTGTTTGAGAGACCCACTGTTTATATTTGGGGTGCCCCCAGAAACTTCATTGTTAGTATCTGTAGGGTATTGATAAGTACTTGTCCATTAGTGGTTCATAACTTAGTTTTTCTAGTGCCACCACATAATATTTAATTATGTCTGTGAGATCTGATCTGGGCTAGTACTGCTTGTCAAATCATATCAGTTAAGTTTGCTTTTGTTTCCATTTCTAAAGAATTTGAGCATTGGGATGATTCTGGAGTGTGAGGATCAACTGTGATCTGTGGTTTTCTGGTCTTATGTTTCTCTCACAGGCTTTTTAAGGTCTAATCTTTTTTTCTGAGTCTCCATCTACATTCCCATTTTTTCCCTGTACAGTCTTGGTCAGATAGTATCATTTCTATCTGAAATAATATTATCTACAGGCACCGTGGCACTTCTCTTTACATTTATAACAAGAAGTAGAAGATAGCAGAACCAGTGAATGTGCCATTGCAAATAAATGTAAAATATGTGTGTCTATTTAAGATATTTGTGTCCATGTGTGTTATCTACCTTCTCAGTAAATATCCCTTTTGTAAAAACCAGTTGATGCTAACTGGATAATTAATTTTGGGAAACACGTAAAATAGGGGCTTGATATCAATATTACTAGATGCTACCACCCCTCAGGGAGGGGGTTTGCCCCTAGTAGAACTGCAGAGAAATAATATTCTCTTCTCTTCTCTTGGAATCTGATTTTCTAGTACCATGTGAGTTGGACAGGTGGCTCCAGAGGAAGTGCTACAGATGAATAAATGAAAAAAAAATTTCTTAATTGGTTATTGTTATGTGAAAAGTATAGTGATAATTGCTGGGGATACAAAGTTTCCTCCTACAGAATGACTATTAGGGTGGGCCAGAAGCAGAGCTCATGGTCTGGGGGTGGAGGTGGTCATAGTGCTATTCCCACTTCTCTTGGGTTATCTCCACTGGGGCTTGAGGAAAGGTGATAGTTTTCCAAGCTTCAGGAAGTAATCATTACTTTTCTTCTATAATATGGTTGTCTCCAGGTATCTGTCCCAGCTGAAGGGCTGTTTGGCTGTAGAAAGGACTTGGATGTGACAGAGTGGGGAGGAATACCTGATTAAGAGTCTTTCATCCTGCCTTGATGGCTGACCCTACCAGGGGTGGGGAACCTGTGGCCTCCAGGCCACACGTGGCCTTCCAGGTCCTTGGGTGCTGCATTTTGACTGAGTCCAAGTTTTACACAACAAATCCTTTTATTAAGGGGATTTGTTCTGTGAAGTTTGGATTCAGTTAAAGGGCTGCACTTGAGGACCTAGAGGGCCACATGTGGCCTCAAGGTCGCAGGTTCTCCACCCCTGTGCCTAGGCATGTCACTTCTCTTTAGGCCTCTGTCCCCCCAATCTGTACAATGAGGTTAGGCAAACTGAGCTCTATGCTCCCTTCTGTTCTAATCATCCATGGATATGAAACTGTGACTGCTGTTTGAAGTCCTGTGTCCTTGGTTATATTCCAAAAGCTCAACATTTCTCTGTAACCTTATTTTCCAACTCAATCTATTGAGACGCCTTAATAATTGAAATAACAAGGCCGCCCCCTGGTGAGCTATGTGAAGATTACAAGCTTTTCTTTAAAGGGCCCCCTCATTCTTTTCCTGCATCTGAATGCCAAATGACTTTCAGCAAGAGGTTGAATTGACTTGGAGGATTCTGATAAACTAAATCTTCAAAGTCTGAGTGAGAGCTTTTTTCTTTTTCTTTCTTTTTTTTTTGGCTCCCTTTTGAGGACCCACACTTTTGCTTTTTAAGGTTCCTTTTTGTTTGGCAGTTGGGAGGTCAAGTTCAAAATGCCATCGTTTTAATGCATTCCAGAGATAGTGCAGGGGCTCCAAGTAGTGCCTAAAACAACCTGAAAGAAAAAGTTTTGGAAAGGCCCACACAGAGGAGCCTAGTTACAATTATTGAGGTCATTTTCCATTAAAGTCCTCCTCCACTGCCTCATTGTAGTAAGAAGTGATTCAACAAATATTTGCTATGTGCCAAGCACTGTACTAAGCATACAAACATAAAATTTCCTGTCTTCAAGGAAATTGAAGTCTGCTAGGGGTTGGCTTTAGTAAACAGTTAAGTAAGTATAAAGTTATGCAAGGTAGTGTCCAAAAAAGAGAGCCAGGTACCAAGATCAGGAAATGCCTGATGTACAAGATGGTACCTGAGTTATGTTTCGAAGGAAACTAGGACTACTAAGAGATAGAAATTGAGGAAGGAGTGCATTCCAATGGAGGATAATTGGAGGAACACCTACACAAAGGGGAAGCAGAAGCGGAAATGCCATGTACCAGGCCAATTTGACTGGAACAAGAGAGGGTGTGAAAAGGAATAATACGGCACGAGGCTGGGAATGTACATGAGCTTCTTGGATTTAAGACCCTGGATTCTGAAGGCTACATCAGTAGAGGGAAAAATACAAGCAAGTCTTCCCAAGACTTTAGAAACGTTTCAAACCTAGGCTTGTGTCTGCAGTTTGAGGACTAGTTTGTCTGAGCCCTACCACCAATGCTTGTATGGAAGATTAGCAGAGGCTTGAGCTGGCAGGGGTGGTGCTGCTAAAGAATCCTGGGCATGCAAATGTAGCTAGCCAGTAAAAATAGCTCCTATATCCTGTTTCCTGTTTGTTCCTGACTTTTATTCTGATTTGGGGCTGTCTCCTTTGCTCTATTTGCCCCTAGATTCATTTCCTGGATCTCCTTAATTAGAGAACCCTGCACTAAGTACCTATTCCTCGTGGGTATGAGTCTTATAAACTGCCACACTTTCTGAACATTCCTTTGGTTGCTTGGTGATGGCTCCCAGTCCCACCAGCTTGTATGTCCCCACCGACTGTGAAAACCTCAGTGAACCCTTTGGTGGGAAAGTCCCTAGTGGATATTTTAAGTTCCTCTTCTCTCTTCTACACACTGCACTCAGAGAGAGCTTCAGGCCCTGCTGCCTCTTGGAATCTGCCAACCTCTAGGTTTTAACTGGCTGCCCTTTAGGGAGAAGAAGGTTAGTTTCACATGTAGTGAGAATATATTTCCAGTATGTGGCCAACTATCCCATTCTGACCAGTGAGAGAAACTATTTGGGTGTCTGGCCCCTATCAAATTGTACTATCAGCTCTTACTTCTAAAACTTCCTTAATGACCAAGCCAAAATTATCCTCATAATTTCTCATTTAATGGGTATTGCTCGATAATGGTTTATACCCTGATAATGGAAATGAGCCCCCTTACTGGAGAACTTTGAGTGTGTTGCCCCGGAACTCAAGAGAAATCTAACAATCCATTCTAGAAAGAGATTGCCAATTTGTAGATTAGAGGCCATAGACAGAGGTGGGCTCAGTTATTAACTATTACTGTGCTTTCTAGACAGTGACTCTATGCTTAGCTTGGAATATTTGTTTGGCCTAGTCTGTTTTTTTAAGGTGTTATTTTCTTCAGTATTTTTTCGTACCTCCTTTACCAAGCTGTTGACTTGTTTTTCATGATTTTCTTGCATCACTCTCATTTCTCTTCCCAATTTTTCCTCTACTTCTCTTACTTGATTTTCAGAATCCTTTTTGAGCTCTTCCATGACCTGAGACCAATTTATATTTTTCTTGGAGGCTTTGGGTGTAGGAGCTTTGACTTTGTGGTCTTCTTCTGAATGTGTATCTCGATCTTCTTTGTCACCAAAGTAAGTTTCTATAGTCAGTTTTTTTTTTCTGTTATTTTCTCATTTTCCCAGGCTATTACTTGACTTTTTAATTCTTCCTTAAGGGAGGGCTCTGCTTCCAGGGCAGAGAGCGACCTGTCCCAAGCTTCAGGGGTTTTGTGGAGCTGTTTTCAGAGATACTTCTAGAGACCTGTAAGTTTTCAGTTCCTCCAAGGTAGTATGATCTAAGGAGAGGTGTTTACTCCTCTCCTGGCCTGTGCTCTGGTCTGTGAGTGACCACAAACACTCTTTTCCACCCTGGAACTGTGAGGAGGATTCCCTGTTTACTGCTGCCCAAGCTTTTCTATGCTAGTGCTCCTCCTTGCCCCAGGGACTGCCACCCAGGACTGGACCCAGAGACCCCTGTAATCTCCTTCTGACCAGTTGTTTGATCCCCTTTTCATCTGTGGGCTGAGAGCTCTGGAAGCAGCTGTTGCTGCTGCTGCTGCTTCCACTGCTGAGTCAGTCACTCCCCAAGGCCTGCTCCTGGTTTGTTGGGGCTGGGGCTGTGCTGGTATGGCCTGTACTGGACAGCACTCCTCTTTCACCCAGGTCCCACAGACCTCTCCTGCCAACCTATCAACCTTGTAGGTTGTCTTGGACAGGAAATTTGTTTTACTCTGTCTTTGTGTGGGTCCTGCTGCTCTAGAATTTGTTTAGAGTCATTTTTAAAAGGTATTTGGGGGGATTTGGGGGGAGCTCAGGTGAGTCCCTGCCATCTTGGCTCTGCCGCCTCCTTGGATGATATTCTTTTATTTTATTTTTATTTATATATTTTTATATATATATATATATATATTTTTTTTTTTTTGGCGAAGCGATGGGATGAAGTGACTTGCCCAGGATCACACAGCTAATAAATGTCAAGTGTCTGAGGCCAGATTTGAATTCAGGTCTTCTAGAATCCAGGGCCAGAGCTCTATCCACTGCACCATCTAGCTGCCCTGATGATATTCTAATGGACCAATTTGTTGAGTGATTTGTGGACTTGTTTCAGTATAAGCCTGAGACAGGGGGATTAGATATATCCCTGCCT